GGGGGGGGGGGGGGGGGTGCACAGGAGGAGACAGTCTTTAATATTCTTTAATATGCTAATTATTAATTCCAGTGCCACATATTGTGTTTTTACACATATACAACCAGATATGGGTCTACATACATAAGGCAAAAAAGGAGGTACGTGTTTTCCCAATAGCCTATGCAAATGTCCTGGCTGCTCCTCAAAAAAAAAAAAAAAAAAGAAGCACGGAGAGACAAAGGCAACCAGTGGCCAATGGCAGCCCATATCAAAGCCCTGCGTTGGCAGAATCATAATGAGGCTGGAGCCCATTTATCAACGACAGGGTTTCATATGCAAGTAGCAGCTCTGCCCTCTCATAGGCCGGCCAATTTCCCTCTCTGTCCCTATCACGGGCTTGCGCGCCCAACTGCGGTGAGATCACCACCGCCAGCAAACAAAGCAAGAGGTTGCCACAGTGCGCACAAGTAGTCCTCCAACACATGTGATGGGAGGAAAAATAACACAGGCAGCTCTTTCCGTCCCTCTCTCTTTCTCTTTCTCTTTCTCTCTCTCTCTCTCTCTCTCTCTCACACACACACAAAAAGTAAATATTGTCACTAGAGCTCGGCTAGAATACCAGCCCCGCTGAGCGTGGAGCGGAGTTCAACAGCTGCTGGTGCCCAGCAGCAGCTCTGCAAAAAAAGCGTCCCCCTTCTGCAAACAGGGCAGTTCACTTTCTCTAAGGCTGAAGACTAAAATCAAAATGTACGGCTGAACTGTAAATATAAATAGGCGGAGAGTTTTGCCTGGTTCACATGCAGGCAAATGACAGCTGCCACATTCCGCTGAAAAGAAATGTAAAACCACATCAGACGCCTTGCTGCATGCCTCTCATGATTTTTAGATGTTGAAACATTGCAGAAAACTACCGCAGTCAGAAGAAAGTCAGCTAGTTTTCAAAAAAAGGGGGAAAAAAGAAAAAGTGCATTTTTTCCCCCCCTTAAAAGTAATTTTTTGATTTAAAAAGAAAAAATCAAAAAGTGCAAGAAATCACCAGGACTAAAACCAACACAACGCATTCTGATCACAAGATGCATTTAAATTATGCCAAGAAATAAGTATACATTACAAGTATATTACACACAATTTAACCAAACTCATTTGGGTAAACTCCACGTTGTGAGTCCGCTTACCTTTTCCCCAGTCAACGCGTGGAGACCCTCTCTAACTTTGGCGAACGACCCTTCTCCCAGCTTCCTCCCGATCAGATAGTTCCCGACCCGTTTGGTGTGGTAAAAGTTCTTGAGGATGTCCGCTGCAGGACTGCATAGGGATGCCGGGAGGATGCTCTCGTTCCCGGCACTGTTTGGGGTTTTACCCTCGTACAACCCGTGGCTGTTGTCCACTACCATGTCGCTGTCCGCAACTGGCATCACCGCTCCCTGGTCAAATGTCTCCTTTTAACGAGGGAGACAACTACGCACCGCGTCCCCTCGCCCAGCTTAAGGCCAGGTATTAAATACTTAACGTCCGGTTTGCCTGCGTCTCGCCCCTAATAACAAATTAGGGAAACCGGAGCTTGCGCGCCACCTGTTCGGCCAAAGCATCCAGCGAGCGCACTCAGCAGGTTCCGACACTTGATAAGCGTCAATGCCACACTCAATCAGTGGGAAGTTATTAACTGACGCAACCTGTGTTAATACTTGTGAGGGTTTTAAAAAGAAGAAGAAGCGGTGGCTCTGTCCGAGGTAGGCTGTAACTCAGCGTCCCCTCTCCATACATGAACGTCTCCTGAATGCGTGCAGGCAGCGTGTTTTTCAGTTTGAACTGACTTTGCCCGGCTCCTCTGGGTGGGCGTTTCTTTAGTGTTAGGGTGGGAAAAAAATAACACAGCCCCTCACACTGTGGTGATAGCCGGGGTGATTTCCAATCCAATCAGCGCAGGCGGGCGGAGCACATGTGAGAACAAGGGGGACGACTCCGCTCCACCTGGTACCGCGGATGGCCCGTTTCGCATGGTGCGCTCAGACTGTACACGGCAAAGAACAAAGAGTATATTACCTGAAGGGCGAGACATTAACACAGTCACTACACATATATACCGATTTTTTTTTTATATTCCTATAACGTGATTTTTGGGTGTTTACGTCGTAATGTTGTCATTTGGGTAGAACTGTGCGTAAAGGACGCACATTGTCACACCATGCGCTCTGCACACCCACACACAGGGATAGAGGTGTGCATTTTTAGTGGTAATAAATAATATGAAATACATTTCGTCTGTAAATGCTCAATTCTCATATAAGAGGCACCATCATCTAGCCACTGCCATTTTTTCCCCCTTTTTGTTATTGGTTGTTGCTGAACTTGGAGTTCTGCCAGCAGTAGAAAGTTGTGCTCCAGTATACCATTGGCAGACAAAGAAGCATTTACCCCCCACTCCCCCCCCCCCCCCCCCCCCCCTCGCCCACTGAGGTGTTCACTGGCCTAATTAACATGGTGTTCATCACTCAAAGGAGGACACCTTGCAGGGAGGGGCAACAGTTTGAGACATATTTTCCTTCCTGTATTTGGCTTCAGGTCAGGTTAATCCGACTTAATATGATTATGTTATATGTTTTACACTGAGCCTGCAGAGGGTTGACAAAATAACAGATACACCTGGTGATATATTGAAATCCAATAAAATATAATAGCAGTGCAATAAATACTACCAACGTGAAACATATTGTTTGTTTGTTTTTTGTCTTTTTCAGCTCTATAGTGTTTTATGGGGCTGCAGTTTGTGGCCTTACTGTATCAGATTTAGTTATATATACAGGTGTGCTCTGTATTGTTCACTCCTGGATTCCTAGAAGGAGTGAGAAAAATACATACAGTTTGACTTGCCTGCTAGGCCATGCTTTCTAGACACCAGACCAGACACCTCGACAGAGAACCAAAAGTATAAGTGTACCACCATCTATTGGAGTTATTTTGTACTACAAGAACATATACAGTCAGGTCTACAACTGACTGAGCCTGCAGCCTCCCCTACAGAGCAGACAGACTAAAAATAGATATTATTTCAAAAAGTAATTAAAACCAAAAATATAACTCTCACGTGTTATTGTGGTTATTGCTCTTGTTGATTTTTTTTTATTTTTTATGTTTTATTGCTATGTATTTGTGACAATTTTCTGTTTCCATAGATTACTATTGTTTATTGTTTCATACATCATTTCACTTTGGCTTGTTTTGCCATTTTCTGTTTTACTGATACAGTGTGATTTAAAATTGTTGGTTGTGTTTATAGTTATGGTTTTTGTGCACCGGGGATAGCGACTACTTCGTGGAGGTAAATCCAAATAAAGAATAAATAAAGAATACGTTTCTTTAGTCAAATGATGATTTATGCAGTAGTCTGTGGATTAGTCTTTGTGATTTAACAGTAGCATGTAAAATAAAGATAACAGAGGGGTCCTGTCAGGGAGTTATTTAATGATTTGGAGATGATGATTCAGAATTTAAAGTACTACTTCTCACTACATTTGAGAAGCATTATCCAAACTACTATAAAACAGACTATTTCACTAATACTCCTTAACTTCGTGGCTTGGAATACTTTAAAGGTAGATGTTGTATTTTGCTCAGTCTCCCAGAAATATCCGGTGATGATGACGATGAAGAGTAGTAAGAATTTCAGTCTTCAGCTTGGTTTCATGGCTAAATCTGGGGTCATGTAGTTCTCCAGCACAGTAATACTGGTTGGTATGTGGGAGCAGACAGAATAGAAGAATGCATGTGTAGTCTGCTGTGTATGTACTGTATCTGACAGACACTTAACGACGACTGGAGTAGGCACACAATGCACAAAGAATGAGGTCCAAGGCTCTAAAAGGACACTGTGGACACCCATATCCCACATACCTTTTTAATCAACTTTATTATAGTTTACACACATAAAAGATTCCATAGACAAGGAAATTGCTTCAATAAAATCTCTGTAATGTGCCAAACATTTATAAAGTGCATTTAGATCATAAAGTTCATGTAGTCAGAGAGTTCATTTTTTTCCAGGTGCTGATTTATATATTTAAAATGTTCCATGGGAGGAGAAAGCTTGTGTCCAGGTTCTTCCTCCTCCTGAGTTCCCACACACCCTGTCCTCCTCATAGACACACATACATGTATATTATCTATGGTCCTCCTCATGTCCAACCCCTACAGCACTCTGCCACCCAGTGGACAAAACATAGAACAACGACATTGAATCCCATCATGCTTTGCCGTGCCCGCCGACCCGAGAGCTACCGATGCTAGGCTAACCGTCGTTAGCTCCCGGGAGCGGACATGTTGTACCGACCCTTCCTTGAATAAACATCGCCGTAAGCGGGGAACCGGGAGTTAACGGGGAGGCTCGAAGCGCTGGGCAATCATGGATGCCGTCAACGCCTTTAACCACGAGGTAGGCTGCCGTCGGGGCTCGCTGAGACCCTGAAGTCACCGAGTCCGGCGGTGCTGGTTCACGGTGCTGATGCACTGAAGCTAGTCGAGCAGCACCGAGCAGCGGGCCTCGCTAGCTGGACTTGTCCACCTTAACATGGCTTAAGGCTAACCGAGTTAGCGCTTGTGTTGTAGCTTACAGCTGCTGAAGCATTTCAGTCATGTTGTTACTGAAACCAGTGAGGGGGTATGTTGCTAACTAGCGAGCTTACAGCGATGGCCGGTGCACACTGGTTCCAGTCACCTTGCACAAAGTTCGCAGAGTAACATTGGTGTTAGCCTGTGGGAGCATGGTCACTTGCACTGGTGTTGGTAACAATGCTACAGGCAAACACACAGCGAGCAAACACACTGTGCTGTTGTTGTTGTCACACTGCAAGCTTCTAACACAATGTTCGCCACTGCTCCATTAATGCACATCCCAGGGTTTGTTTAGGTTGATGCCAGGCCAAGTCCCTGTAAGGCCCGAGGACTGATGGTTGATACTCTTAAAGTCCAGTTAAAAGAGAGGTCATGTTATCTATTGGTGTCTTCTTTTTTTTTCGTCTCGTTTCTGCTAATTTAGCCCTTGAATGTAACAGTTACAGGGACTGAGTGGCAAACCAAATCATCATCACACAGGAATATGAGGATTTCTATCTGGCACAGAAACAGAGGCTGTAGTTGTTGCAAATGCAGATCCCTGTTCGATAATGCAAATATGTCAGCGTATACTTCAGCATACTGTCAATAGACACCTATTGAAAGAGCAAATATGTACTCCAGCGATGTCTAGATGAGTTTCTCTCAGACACTATCATTTGGTTTAGCTCAGAATAAGCAAAGCAATAGTTCAGTGCACCTCAGTTGTTAAGATGTTTTACCTTCCTTAAAAAGCAGACAGCCGACAACATGGGGATCATTTCTAGTTTCTTGGCACCATACTGTAGCAAGGCCGTATCTTCATGCTGCCTCACGTCAAAACAGTCGATATGTGTCGTCGTCCCTTCCTCCCCAGAGCAGAGGTGGAGTTTGTTATATTCGGTTTTACAAACTCAGATGCCAGTTTGGAGTGTCTGCGTGTGTCAAAGCTTCTCGTAGCCTTGATGGGAAATAAAAGTGGTTCATTCACTGTTTCTGCAGCACAATACCAAAGCCTTTATTGCCATACCTCCATCAGAGAATAATGAACAATGCAACAATCATGCGGCATACAGAGGTGGTGAAAAAGTCCACTTAACCAATCAGTGTTACTTTTCAGATGGTCAATATGAAAGATCATTAATCCAATTAACATATGTTATCATCAGTGATAAGCCTGTTAAGATTGGAATACTCCCTGTTTAAAGCTTTTGATTTCATGTTTAGTTCGGTTACTTGTTTCCACTAAAATCTGTATTCGTGCAGAGCTTTTCCTGTAAATCTGTCTCTTTGATGTGGGAAGACACGAGGGTTTGGAAATAGAAAGCAACCAACTGGAAATGATTGACATCACCTCTGAAGCTCCTCAAGCAAAGTCATCTGTTTTTTATTTGTTCTCTTCCTCCTGTTTCCTGACTCTCCACGTGTCGCTCATCTGTTATCTCCTCTGTCTCTAGTTATTCTCGCTGATGGACTCCAAGCCTCCAATATCTCGGGCAAAGATGATCTCGATCACCAAATCGGCCATCAAAGCTATGAAAGTAAGAATGAGTTTGGTATTTGTTTGTTTTGAGAGTTACTTGTTTATCTGTTTGATATTTTCCATCTTTCTAAAATGATTGAATTGTTTTTGCCTGTATCGAGACAATAACATGCTTACTTGCTTCTCTCTTTGTCAGCTCTACAAACATGTGGTCCAGATTGTGGAAAAGTTTATCAAAAAGGTGAGACACCCCTACATTCAGTCATCACCCGGTTTCTCTCACCAAACACAAATAAACTAAAGTCTGTTTCTACTTCTGCTCTCTCCAGTGTAAGCCTGAGTACAAGGTAGCGGGCCTGTATGTGGTGGATTCCATTGTTAGGCAGTCCAGACACCAGTTTGGAGCAGACAAGGACGTGTTTGGCCCAAGGTTCACCAAAAACATTACAGGAACTTTTGAGAACCTCTGCCTTTGCCCAGTAGAGGACAGGGTACGAACAAATTTCACTTGATAAATAGTGTGCATTGTAGTGTAGTACCAAATTGGGGTTTTGCCAGCCTCCTGTTATTCCTTCTCCTTCACTCGTTTCCTTGCTTTCTTATCTTCCTTTGTAGAGTAAGATCGTGCGGGTGTTGAACCTGTGGCAGAAGAATGGGGTGTTCAAGATAGAGGTTATTCAGCCCCTCCTGGATATGGCAGCTGGCT